GGTCCTTACATCTTGGTGGAATCTTGCTAGGATCATACATGAAAGGAGAGGAATTTTCTAAATAGTTGGCTTATTTTAATATACTTGGGAGCTACTAAAACTTGCCTGCTATCTGCTTTTACATTAGGTTCTTGAGACACTAGATCTTTGATCGCGAGTCCTTACATATTTTCTGCCCTCCTTCTGAACAAGCCCTTAAAGCACGATATGTGTCCCGTTCCCCCCCATATTCTGCTACTAATTCATGTAGCAGAAACAGATGATATTAAGTGACCAATCAAAAGGAATATTACTGCATTGCATTGAATCAAAAATAAAAATTAAGCTCTTGATAAGTCAAGAAACGGATGCATAAGCACAATACCAAGACGGAAGGAAACTGCGGAAGCTCAGAAACCGGAAATGATTTTCGGGAAAGCTGCCTGGGCCTGGGGTGGGGTGGGGCACCACTGCGTCCATCCTTGGCTCCTCCTTACTGGTTGATATGTGGGCCTGTGCAGATAGCACCTTGATAAGTATCTTTAAATAGCAAAAAGTTAAACTCCAGTCAAATATAAAACTAGTTTTTATTTTAAGCATATTTAAACACTAACTTCTCCAGCCACTGAGGGGACTGAACAAAGCGTTTGTACTTGTGCAGTAAGAGTCGCTCTGGCAGGTGTGTAAGGAAGACTCGGACTTGAAGTCAAGTGCAGGATGCTCCTTGTCCACGGATGCAGGGCTGGGAGGTGGCGCCGCCGCTCCCTCTGCTGGACAGACGTGTGCGCACTGCGCCGTCAGTGCTGACTCTGGGGCGGTAACATCCCCATCTGGCCTTGGGCGAGGTGGGGGGGTGGTTTCCTGACCTTCACCGCCTACTGATGTTTACACGAAGATTTAATTTTAAAAACAGTGAAGGCCTTGGGAGGTTCCACTGTGCATTAAATTAATTTCCTGCATCCATGGGCTTGATCGGACCCTATTTAATAGCTGTGGGTTCTTCAGGATGATCTTATGCAGCAAGCCTTAAATTTGTGTTCTTTTCCACAATACTCTACAGTAGTTTTTAGCAGGCAGTCCTAAATATGTCTGGCACTCCTCTGGGTGTCCCCAAGACCCTCCCAGGGGCCCCACGGGGTCAAAACTGTTTTCACAATAATACCAAGCCATCAGCCACCGCTTTCCCTGTGCTGACATTTGCACTGACTGTGCAAAATCAACATCGATGAGCCCCCGGGGCACAAATGCAGGTGCAGAGTGAGGCAGAGGCGTCAGACTCTCCCAGACGTCGCCGTCGCCGTGGTCTTCCCCACCCTGCTCTCACAGTGAAAAAGAAAAGAGAAGCTGAGGAGGGGGTACTGCAATTTCCGGTAAAGGTTAACCTATGGTCCTTGATGGAGCTGTTAATTGCTGTTAATTGTATTAAATCTCAGTCCTGGAATTCACATCTTTCCAATATTGTGTGTGACAAAAGGCACTTCTTCTGCCAATGTATGATGACTGCCCTAAGGAAAGGCCGCTGGCAAATGACTGTGAGCCGAACCAGCCATTTTTGTCACGAAACACCGTTTGCTTGAAGGAGTAACAGACAAATGATGATTATTCAGACTTGGGGAATTGGCAGACATTTACTCAAAAATGAATGGTGCGAGGTGGATGTATCCAGGAAAACAGCCGACTAATTTGGTTGCCAATACATTTTCAACCAAAAAAGAATTAGAATTTTGAGCTTGGTAGTGATACTAACAAATGTGATTTTCAGTACCGTATAATGAAAGCATGTCAACATTTGGAACATCTGCAGAGTCAGTGAACCAATATTTTCCAAGTGACTGGAGCGGGAGGTTACAAAACCACACATGTGGGGAGAAGATCCATTCAAATGGCAAGGGAGAATAATGGGTTTTTTAGTTGTATATGTTTTATCAAGGTCAAATTCACATAACATAAAATGCATCATTTTAACCACTTAAAAGTATATGATTCAGCGGCGTTTAGTACATTCTCAGTGTTGTACAACCATTACCTTCTTCAGTTCCAGAACATTCTCATCACCCTGTAAACTGGTAACCCTGACCAGTTAGCAGTGACCCCTCCTGCCAGTCCCTCCTCCTTCAGCCTCTGGTAACTACTCTGCTTCCTGTCTCCAAGGATTTTCCTGTCCTGGACATTTCATATAAACGAGCACCATACACTCTGTGGTCTTTTGTGCCTGCCTTCTGTCACTGAGCATGATGCTTTTGAGGCTCATCCACATTGTAACATGTATCACTACTTCCTTCCTTTTGGTGGATGAATACTAGTCCATTGTGTAGATACACTGCATTGTGTTCGTCCAGTCATCCGGGACTGACACTTGGATTTTTCCGGGTTTTTGCCGTGGTGAATCATGCTCCTGTGAACATTCACGTACACGTTTTTCTGAATATACCCAGGAGTGGAATTGCTCGGACGTAATAGTTTAACTGAGTTTATGTGTCACTTTTGGAGGAACTGCCGGCCTGTTTTCCACAGCAGCTGCACCATTTTATATTCCGCCAGCCGTGTGTGAGGTTCAAGGGTCTCCGCATCCTCGCCGACACTGGTGTTTTTTTCTTTTACTTTCCTTTCTTTCTTTTTTAATACCCGTACTAGTGTGTGTGAAGTGGTATCTCCCTGTGCTTTTCGTTTGTATTTCCCTAATGACTAATGATGCCGAGCATCTTTTCATGTGCTTCTTGCAGACATGTCTGGTCAAGTCCTTTGCCCATTTTTTAACTGGGTCATTGGTCATCTGGTTGTTGAGTTGTGACAGGTCTTTATATATTCTGGATACAAGACCCTTGTCAGATAATACAGTTTGCAAATATGTTCTCCCATTCTGTGGCTTGTCTTTTCACTCTCCTGATAGTGTCCTTTGCTGTACAAAAGTTTTTAGTTCAGGTGAAGTCCCGTGTATCTTAGTAAAGATTTTTTATCGTTTATTTGTGCTTTTGGTGTCATATCTAAAAATCCATTGCCAAATCCAAGGTCATGAAGATAACCTTATTGTACATGACTACCTTATGTTTTCTTCCAATCATTTTATAGTTGTAGCTCTTACATTTAGTTCTTTGATTCATTTTGAGTTGATTTTTGTATATACTGTGAAGTAGGGGTCCAACTCCATTTTCATGTGGAAACCCATTTATCCCAGCACCATTTGGTAGAAAGTTTACTCTTTCTCCATTCAGTGGTCTTGACACCCTTGTCAAAAATCAGTTGACCATAGACATATGGGATGAGTCCTGGATGTTTAATTCCATTCCGTTGGCCTGTGCACATCTGTGTCTGTCCTTATCCCAGTACTGCACTGTCTTGGTTACTGTAACTTTGTAGTAAGTTTTGAAATCAGGAAATGTGAGCCTTCCAGATTTGTTCTTTTTCAATATTGTTTTGGCCTAATGCCATACGAATTTTAGGATCAACTTGTCCACTTCTGAAAAAGCAGTTGGAAGTTTAATAGAGAATTTGGCTAAGGATTGCACTGATCAACTTGGAGAGTATTGCCATCTAAATATTAAGTCTTCTGATCCATGAACATAGGATATCTTCTGTTTATGTAGGTCTCCTTTAATTTCAGTCAGCAACGTTATAGTTTTTAATGTAAGTATTTTACCTCGTTGGCTAAATTTATTCCTAGGTATTTTATTTTCTCTGATGCTGTTGTAAATGGGATTGTTTTCTTTATTTCATTTTCCTATTGTTCACTGTTGAGAAATATAACTGATTTTTGTATGTTGATCTTGTATCCTGCAACTCTGCCGGGTTTGTTTATGAGCATTCATTGTTTTTTTGTGGCTCCTTCAGGATTTTCTGTGTCTAAGATCATGTTATCTGCAAACAGAGATAGTTTTACTTCTTCTTTTCTGATATGGATGTCTTTTATTTCCCACTGTTGCCTGACTGCCCTGGCTAGAACTTCCAGCACAGTGTTGAGTAAAAGTGGCGACAGTGGACACACACAGAGCTGTCGGAAGAGGTGATGGGCAAAGCAGAACCCTCTCATTCCTGCCCTCGGGCTCAGGAGCCCCGTCCAGCCGTTCTTTCCAAAATACGTGTTCCACCTGCTTTTTGCACACACATCGCTGAAGTCTGCCTTCCCTGCGTGTTTGAGGAAGGTCAGGGTGTGCATCGGGTTATTTCCTTCCATTGCCGTTCTCTGCCTGTTGTGGTGGGCTCCAGCAGATTTCCCATTTCCATTTAATATGCACAAGTGGGCGTCAGATTCGGCACATATGGTGAATGTGGCAGGAGCCGCACACAGCCGGGTGTTTGCTCCTGTGCATCGGCCTGCTGGACCACCTTAGCTCCCTGCCTCCATGAGGTCCTCGGAACCCAGCTCAGAAGCCCGTTCCCCCCAGGAAGGTGTCCCTGTTAGCTCCCTGTGACTTTGCCCAGCTCACGCTTCATGAACATTCAGGAGCATATCTCTGTGACATGTCCAGTGGCCCCAGGGTTCAACGCCTCCCTGTGGCAGGGCCAGGGTCTCTGGCCTTGTTGGTATCTTCCTGGAGCACCCAGGAGGGAGACCCTGGGCTTTGTGACAGGACAGGCCGCCCAGAACATTAGTAGTTCCACCGGCTGTCCTTGGGTGGACAGCTGATTCTCCCTAGCAACCGATAACAGGTCCAGGGGAGCAGCAGGGTGATTATTCTGCTGGCTTTGCCTCTACCTGAACTCACGCCTCGGCTCGGTAGTCATGCTGTGCAGATGTGAAATGCCGCAGCGGGTGTTGGCAGAATGCTCCTTTGTGCTGTTGGCGCTCCTGGGCTCCCGCGCTCACCCGCATGTCAGGAGTCACGCTCCCCTCCCGGGCCACAGCTTTTACTCGCTGCCTAACCACGCCCCCCTCCCCAACCCGCGTCAAGCCTTGTTTTCATTTTGTAGGCGCTTGAATCATTATTTGGATATTAATAAAAACAAATCTTGGCTGATGCTAACCATCTGATTTCCTTTTTTTTTTTTTCGTTTTGTTTTGTTTCTGCACACATTTTCTTTAGCTTGAAATGGCGATTGAAAACCTCCAAAAAAGCGAAGGGATCACTTCACACAAAACCGGTTTACTCAACAGCCATGTAAGTGTGTGTCGACCCGGCGGCCTGCCCTGCCGCACTCGTAACCTTCGTAGGCATCTTAAAAACAAGCGAAGACCATGAAATGCCTCTCAGGTGCTGAAAGGTGGGAGGGAGGGGGGAAGCCAACCTAGGATGCTACATCCAGCCAAAAAAAAAAAAAAAAAAAACCCTTCAGCAGAGTGAGGGAAAGCGTCCTGCATCCATGCAGGTGGCTGGTAACAGCACATACCCTCCGGGTGCTCGAGGAGGGGAGAGCGAGAGTCTGCGTGCTCCCTGCAGGGCCCGGGAAGGCAACGGGCACCACAGATAAACTGATACTAAGACAGGCGGCAACCACAACAGAAAAGGCAGGACTGGGGGCACCCTAATGACTCTTAGCTGCCTTTCCTGTCTGTGATCAGCTCTTTGGGGAAAAAAATAATAATAATAGGAGAAAAGTGCAAAGCAACAATACTGATTTTAACTGTAGGATCTTTCTCCTTCGCTCTCCTCCTGGGGAGACCGTGATGGTAGCTTCCGTGCCAGGAGGCAGCAAACGTCCCTGTCTCTGGGCAGCTTCACGGGGCAGGATGGGACTGGAGGAGGTGACCAGCTAAGAGTCTTTATTTCCTAACTAGGGCCCCATCAAGACTTTGGTACTGGCCGGTGTGCCAAGTGAGGCACTGGCTCAGAGGGCAGTGATGTTGGGGCAGAAACTCAGCTAGGGAAGGTCCAGAAACTTCTAGGTTTCTGGATTGGCACAGGTGTCCTGGGCTGCTCCAGGTACCCGTAACCAGGGCCGTGCACTCCTGGGCCTCAGAGGCCCAGTCCCTGGAAGGGAGAGCAGTCTCACACCCATCATCTCAAAGCAACAAATACAAAAAAAAAATAAGAGAGCATCAGGGCCCTGCTGAGGGCCCCGCCCCCCAGACTAGGTGGTTCATGGCCTCCCTGTCTCTAGTTACTGCTGGACAGTGTCAGCCCCGTGGCCGATCTGGGGAGGGAACAATCGGCAGTGTGTTCTTGCTCAGTCTTAAACTCAGGCCACTGTGTGGGCATGTCTGAACAGTGGCCTGCTCTGTTCAGCAGGGCCCTGAAGCAAACACGCGTGGCCTCAACACGGCCCGTGGGCCCCAGCACTGGGTCAGCCTTGAGGAAGGCAGAATGTGGGGCGCAAACCCCAGGCAGGCAGGGCTCCGCAGGAAATTTAAAATGTCTGTGGGGAAACGCATGAGCCGCTTGTCTCTGGCTGCAGGGGTGCTTCTGGCTCCTAACATGTTTCCTTTGGAAGGAGATGCCTTTGACTGCTTCCCTGCTGGTTCGGTTTCTGAGCAGGAAACACTCCCTGCGTCCATTTCTCCCTGGCCGTGTGTCGTGTGTCGTGTGTCGTGGAGCTGTGAGCAGCAGGGTCTGGGCTTGGTGGCTTAGAATCAGACAAGAGAAATTATCTTTCTGAAGAGTTGACCCCGTGCACTGGGGTGAAAGCCTCCTGGAGCCCGTCCAGCCGATGTGAGAGCCAGGAGGGGAGGGAGAGAATGGGTCCTGGCCCCTAGCTGGGGCCCCGTGTCCCTGCGGTGGCCGGCCATGCTCGCTCATGATGCTTGTCACCCTGGCCACCCGCAGCTGAGTGGGCTCCCGTGCCGGGCGACACTGGCCGAGTCCCGGCTCCTTTGCCAGCCCGGCTCTAGGGCAGACGAGCCGGACTGGGGGCTGTGCCCCACGGACCCATTTTCCTGGTGGCCTCCCAGCCGGCCCTTCTCCAAGAGCCGGGGTCGCGGCGTCCCACCCGCGCCAGAGCTGTGCTGAACACAGGGGCAGAAGGAACGAGGAGAACTCACGCCAGGGAGCTGGGAATGCGCGGGCAGTAGCCCAGCAGCTGTGAGAAGGCTCACCCAGGTCACACGGAAGTGTGCACAGAAGCCAGCCGTGCAGGTTTTCCGCTGGACCTGGTTCTCGTGCTCTGTGGAGTTTGCTTCCCGACGACAGTGATGACGACGGGCTAGCATGGGGTGGTGTCCAGGGCTAGCGAGATGCCCTGAGCCTGGGAGGCGAGACAGTGCCTTCCAGACCCAGCTGATGTCGGGGTCTCCGGGAATTTCCCCACCTGCCCTCAAGGGGCTGAGTGAGACCCAAGGGGGTCTGCAGGTGGAAGGAACCTTCCAGCCTCGGGTGGAAATAGGCTGGAGCGGTCTCGAAGATGGGGACGGGCAGATTTGGTGGCATGAAAACCAGGGTTAGCTGCTTGCAGGGAAGGAGGCGAAGCGCTTGCCCTGGGCAGGAAAACGCCTTCCCCCACCGCAGACGCAACCACCGTGGTGCCTGGTCTGGAGGGACTTCAGGCAAGGTCCCCCGCCTTGAGCAGGGGAGGGGCCTGGGCTCCTCCCAGGGCTGCCCCTCAGCCGTCCCTCAGATCCCTGCCCAGAACAACACCCCCCCCCACGCAGGGACCCCCCCCACCACTGGTTCACGGTCACTGTCACATGGGGGCAACGTGGTCTATGTAGTAAACCCTGGGAGGAGGACCTGCTTGTAGATTAATTGTATTTAGATTCTGTGACTTTTTTTTTTTTTTAATTGGGGACCACAAATTGCCAAAGATCACGTGGTCTTCAGTTGGTGGCGGACCGCAGGCCCGAGTGATGACTAAGCATGCCGTGCAGACCAGGGTTGGGGCTTGGCTAGAATCGGCAGCTTCCTGGGATGGGTCCCTTGTCCAGAAATTGCTCCAAATTATTGTGGCAAATGCCTCCAGCAGTTGTGGTCAGACTGCTGGTTTCTTTCCCGAAGCCTCCTCACCGCCTTGCTGACCCCACCCTGACTCCCAGTGCAAAGGCTGTTTCCCAGGTGGCACCACCACCTGGCCCCTCCCACCTGCAGGCTTGGAGCTGCAGCTCAACACAGCGTGTCCAAAGCCGAGCCCCGACTGCCCCTCTAACCCCTGAGCCTCCCACCATCCTCTGCTGCTCCCCCTCGCTTCCCATCCTCCTCCCAGACCCCACCTCCAGACGCTCTTGACCTCGCCTTCAGAACCATCCCGAAGCAGACCACTTCTCCTTCCTCCACCGCCACAGCGCCCACCATCTCTCCCGTGGAGTGTCGTGCCCACCACCTAGTGAGCCCTTGGTAGCTGCCCTCCCCCAGCTTCCAGGCCCTTCTCACAGCAGCGGCCGCAGTGATTCTACTGAAACCAAAGCCAGATCATGGCACCTCTCTGTCCAGAAGCCTCCAGGTCCCCCATCACACTCCAAGGAGGAGCCAGCATCATCAAAACAGCCTCCGGGGCCCTGCCCGGCCGGCCCTGTCCCTCCTTCCCCTCCCCCTCCCCTCCCCCTTCTCTCTGCTCCAGCCACACAGGCCCCCTCACTGTCCCTCCAACACGCCAGGCCCGGTGCTGCCCCAGGGCCTTTGCACGGGCTGTTCCCTCTGCCTAGAATGCTTCCCCGTGGCTCCCTCCCTCAGCTCCGTCATGACTTGACTCATTGGTCCCTTGAATCAGCTTCCCCTCTGTTGCAAAAGGGGGAGAAAGCATAACTGATTGTTCTGGGAGCTGCGAGAGGTGTCAGCTCTCTCTGGAGTTACTTCTGCTTGGGAAGAACTTGCTGTGATAACCATGCATCATTGTTCTCGATGCCAACAGAATTACCCAAGTAAAGAGAGCCATTTTTCGTTTCAACAACACGGGGCTGGGGGATGGATGGTGATAAGCCGAAGCGATCGTTCTTCCGGAGCACTTCCTCATACATGTGAGCCGGTCCTGTCGAGGGCCCCCTCCAGCCCACCACCCACGGAACCTGACCTCACCCTTCTCGTCTGAAAGTCCGTGTTCCTCTCCCGCTCCCAGAGGATTCCCTAAGAAGCAGCACTCTGTGCTCCCGGGGCGGGGGGGGGTGGTGCAGGGCAGAGCGAGAAAGTCTCCAGCTCCTGCACCCTGACCGTCGGCTTCCCGCATGCTGGGGGCCCCTCTGCTCCTCAGGACCCCTTCTCTTGGTCCGTTGCACCTCCTGGGGGTGCAGACGTGGGCAGGCCCGGTTCCATCTCTACCCGCCTGGGGTTCTCATTCCAGTGGGGGAGACGAACAATAAATAGATAAGATGCACCTGCTAGCTTCAGAGGGGGACGTTCTCTGAAGAAAACCCCGGGGCTCAAAGAACCCCCTCAAATACCAGCCCTTCCTCACCTGGATCCCAAACTGAGAATAAGAGAAGGTGGTAGCCAGGGAACCCAGTTACCCCCCCCCCGCCCCACCACGCCTTGTCGTGGGGGGGGGGGGCAGCTTCCTGGCGCCGATGGGGCTGTGCTCACCCCCTGCCCCTTCCAGATGCCCCCTGAGGGGCCTACCGCCCCGCAGCCTCCCTGAGCCCAGGGCAGTGCCATGCTGCCGTCACAGCTTCCGGCAGCAAGGGGAGAGAGCTCAGGGGCCAGGGAGGACCAAGGAGGTGGCTCCCGGGCCAGAGCGAAACTCTGGAGAGAAAAAGGTGGCAGGAAAAGCACATTTAAGGAGAGTTGGAAAACTAAATATCAAGTGAGGCGACAGGAAGTCCTTTTTGCAGAGGGGGGCGGCTTCCTGGGCGCTGCCCTGTTCCCGGGGCCTCTGCGGGGGGCTGCGCCCCCCCCCCCGCCGCCCTGTGCTGTCCTAACTGCCTCTCAGTGGCCCCGCCGCGGAGGCGGGGAGGGGGCCAGCTGGGGTTCCCCGACGCTGGGACACTCGGTGGGTGAGGGGCCAGCTGTCAGCCGCGCAGGCCCACAGCCTGGGGCGGGAGGGCCCAGGGCCACGCGGGCCGCACGGGGAGCAGGCCAGCTTCGTAGTGACCATGGCGCGGCGGCTCAGGGAGAAGCAGGAGCTGCGCCCGGCCCCTCCCCGAGGAGGCTCCCGCAGCTCTGAGACTCCTCTGCAGAGCCTCTCCTGGTTCCCCGGGCGGCAGGGCAGCAAAATACACTGGGCCTGAAATGCGAGGCCTTCCGGCCACTCTTCCTCCTCCTCCTCAGGCCCTGCGTGTGTGAACGCCCTCTCTGTGCGTCCCCCCGGAGACCCCGTCCTCAGCCTTGGTACCCCGTTAGCACGCCTGCGCCCAGCCTCTGCCCTGAAGCCAGGCCCAGCAGTTAGGCGACCTCCCCTCCAAAGCAGAGCCCACGACCCCAGCCCTTCCTGACGCCCGATGCGTGTCCTTCTGTTACAGGACCCTCTGCTCTGTCAGTCCCCACGTGTCCCTTCACTTGGACCTTTGGCCTGTGGCCCACCTTCATCCCACACATGCAGCCGTGCCCACCTCGACCTCTGAACCTTTCCTTGCCCATGGCCGGCCCCGCCTCGGGCCTCCCACTCTGGCCCCGCGCTAGATCAGGAGGCCCGGGGTGGAATGAAGGCACGTCAGGCATTCACTTGAAAACAGCCCAACACAGGCAGGAGGCGGCAGGTGGGGCTTAGATGAAATGAACTTGGCCCCGAGCGGACGACTGTAGAAGCAGGGGTCCGTTATGCTGCTCTCTCTACCTCTGTGCCTGTTAGAACCTTTCCATAATAAAACTGTCTTTGAAAGGGGAGACTCCAGCCGACTACCCCCCCCCCCCAGCGTGCGCGTGCGGGGGCCGGCTGCGGCTGAGCTCTCCCCGGGCAGACGCTCACTTCGGGTCTAGAAGGGTTCAGAGGGTGTGCGACGTGCTGGGGCCCCCACACCTGGGTCGGCGGGGGCCCGAGAGCCCCTCACCCTTCCCACGCAGGATCCTGCCTACAGGCCTGGGGCCCAGGCACGACTCCTGCCCTTCTCCAAATCCCCAGCACGGTTCAGGGCTTTGGTATTCACACATCAGACCTCCCTTGATCAGGGAACAGACGCACTCTGCTGGGCAGGCCTCCTCTGGGCCGCTGCCTGCTGTGGGGGCTTGACTCTGTGTGGACGGCTCCTGCCCTTCTGACCCGATGCTGAGCCGGGGGCGGGCGGGGAGGGCTGCTGCGGGCAGCGACTTGGCTGCCTCCCGGCCTGGGCCCAGAACCTGGCGCAGAAGCCCCTTCAGTACTGTGTCCCGTTTCCGCGTGCAGCCTCCCTCTCAGAGACGCGAGGGGAGGCCGGTCCGCCTCCGCCTGTCGTCCTGTTTTTTGTTTTCTTTTGTTGTTGTTTCCGAAAGAAAAAGAAAAAGCTTTCCTGAGAGAAAATACAGCACACCTTCCAGAGCGTATGGTTTCCGGGCCGCTCGGCCAGTCCCCCAGCCGTGAACACAGACCCCTGTGGAGGCACACACGTCCTACCTCAGGGAGGAAGCGCAGTCGCTCGCATCGGGTCTGAGAGCTGCTAAGAAGAGGGGCAGGAGAGGGGGGCGCCTGGGTGGCTCAGTCGTTAAGCGTCTGCCTTCGGCTCAGGTCATGATCCCAGGGTCCTGGGATCGAGCCCCGCATCGGGCTCCCTGCTCGGCGGGAAGCCTGCTTCTCAACCTCCCCTACCCCTCTGCTGTGTTCCCTCTCTCGCTGTGTCTCTCTGTCAAATAAATAAATAAAATCTTTAATAAAAAAAAAAAGAGAAAGAAAAAAGAAAAGAAGAGGGGCAGGAGGAAGGAGTGTCTGGGAATTCCCCCTTCCACTCCTCCCTTCCTTCCCAGCCTGTTCTAGGAGAATCTGGCTGCCCCAGGGTGCAGAATTCCTGGTTGGAGCCATGGATAGTAGCACAAGCAATAGGGCAAGAATTCACGCAGGGCAGGACTTTCCTATTCAGTGACCAGCAATGAGACAGGTGGCCGAGCCCCAGCCATCTTAATCCTTAGATGGACGATTTGTCCCTCAGTCACAAGATGTCAGGAGGGGTGGACAAGCTCTAAAGGCCCACATTGCCCTGTTTAATGCCGGGGGCAGTGCTGATGGGTCTGCCGAGCTTTCTTCAATCTTCCTCTTCATCTTGACATTCCTGTCAGTTTAAGAGACATGGTGTCTAAATGATTAGGAAGACACCCAAGAGGTCTCAGTCACTTGCAGGTTTTTGTAAATTAAGTCAAGGAATCTGAAAACCAGGCTGAACATTGAAGGAATAAATACAGGAGTGGAGAGAAGCTATTAATTCATGTGCCTGGAATCTCTCAAATCCAAATCAGCAACAGTGGCTATGAACTTCCTCATCACGTTAATGGAGAGAAAGTATGTGCTTCTCTTAATGAGTCCACGTTAGCCTTTCAGCATTTTGGGGGATCCTGACGAACGCAAGCGTGTCTGTCTTCATCCAGCTCCAGTGGCTGTTGGATAACTACGAAACCGCAGAAGGCGTGAGTCTCCCCAGAAGCTCTCTCTACAACCATTACCTTCGGCACTGCCAGGAGCACAAGCTGGACCCTGTGAATGCCGCCTCCTTTGGGAAGCTGATTCGCTCCGTGTTCATGGGCCTGCGGACGCGGCGGCTGGGCACCAGGTGTGTATATGGGGGTGCCCGGTAGCCCCACGCCCACCCGTCCTCCTGCGTCCTCTATACAGATACTGAGCTTTTGGAGAATGTGGTCTTTCTCCTTCTGCCTGCATGCCCCTGGGTGAACTTGGAGTTGTTCTGAATTGGCAGCAGCACGGGCCTGACTGGCCCAAGGCATTGGCCATGGGCCATCTCTCTCCTGGTGACAAGGACACAGGCTTTGCTTCAGCACTCACCGTTTGTTTAAAATTTTCCATAATAACAGGTTTTCTTAACAAGCAGCCTCTGGATTATCAAGTAGAGTTGGATTTATGGTTTCTTGGTGCTTTCTGCTCCGCCTGGACCTGTCCACCACAGCCTGCCCTTGGCCTGCAGCAGCCAGGGACTGCCATATGCCGCAGACTTACCCAGGCAGGAAGCAAACACTCCTCCCACTAGAAAACAGCAGCCATACTCTATCCAAAGTGGGGGGCCTAGAGCACACAGAAGGGGCCAAGAGAATGTTCTCTGCCACCCTCTGATCCTTTACAGAGAACATCCTTACAGAGCATCAATGGATAGAGGGAAGGAGGGGGAGCCCCTGGTCTCTGGGGACACAGCCACCACTGCCTTTGGGGCCTCTCCAGACGGTTCATGCATGGCCTCCACCGTCAGAGTGTCCTGGACGCTGGCCTCAGGACTGGGGTTTTTCTCCCCACTGCTTTCCCTCCTCCTGGCACCAGCCAAGCTGCTACCTCATCCAGAAAGGGCCCATGCTCCGCCCACTTGTCCCTATTGCCCGACACACGTCTATCCTTCAGTGCTTCTCTCCTGAGGAGCCCTTCTGACCTGTTTTCTTAACCAAATTGCCTAAAGCCCTCTGATCATTCATTTCTCACATAATAAGCTATGATAGTGTTTCCCAAAGCGTTACCATTTCCTAGATCGTGTTGTCAGATGACTGGGGGCAGGGGGTGAGGATGGTGATGCTGATGGTTGGGATGGTGATGATGACAGTGATGATGGTGAAGATGATGATGATGGGATAGTGATGACGGTGGTGATGGTGATGCCAATGGTGGTGATGGTGATGGTGATGCTGATGGTGGTGATGGGGAAGATGATGATGGGATAGTGATGATGGTGGTGATGGTGTTGATGGGTGGTGATGATGCTGTGGTGGTGATGATGGTGATGTTGGTGATGATGATGGTGGTGGTGATGTTGGTGATGATGGTGATGTTGGTGATGATGGTGATGATGATGATGGTGGTGATGGTGATGCTGATGGTGGTGATGGTGATGCTGATGGTGGTGATGGTGAAGGTGATGGTGGTGATGGTGATGATGGTGATGCTGATGATGGTGAAGATGATGATGGGATAGTGATGACGGTGATGATGGTGTTGATGGGTGGTGATGATGCTGTGGTGGTGATGATGGTGATGTTGGTGATGATGATGGTGGTGGTGATGTTGGTGATGATGGTGATGTTGGTGATGATGGTGATGATGATGATGGTGGTGATGGTGATAATGATGGTGATGGCAGTGATGCTGGTGATGATAATGGTGAGTGTGTCGATGGTGATGGTGGCAATGGTATGATGATGATGATATTGATGGTGATGCTGGTGATGATGATGGTGGTGAGGTCATGCCAGGTCAAACAAAGCTGGACTGCTTTTCCCACTGCAGGACTTCTCAGAGCCTTTAGAATACTAAAATGCAAGGGGGGGATATCTCCGAGAGGCGGATGCCCAGTACAGAATTTCCTAAACCTCTCTGATCACGGAACAGCCCGTGAATATTTCCCACATGGTCCAGGGAACACTGAACCTGAGCACCCAAAATGAAGGGCCAAGATAGAGCACTTGTCTTGTCATTCAGAACATCTGCAAGGAGAGCTGACCCTGAGATGCTTGGTTTCTAGGGGCAACTCCAAGTATCATTACTATGGGATCCGCCTGAAACCAGATTCACCCTTGAACCGGCTGCAGGAGGACACCCAGTATATGGCCATGAGGCAACAGCCCATGCATCAGAAGCCAAGGTGGGTGACCTGGCCCAAAGCCAGCCTGAGGACTGACTTTCCTGCCCAAGGCAAGGGTCAGGTCTGAGTTTCACTTGGAGAACATACAGAAAAGTGTCTCTCAAACATTAAATACATAGGGAGGAGGGAACTCTGCAAACTGTGATGGAAAAAATAGATTCATGTGAACCTCTGTCTCCAACGTCCCGGGAGAGCGAAGGCACGGGCAGCTGGGGATGCAACCTCATCCAGCTAACAGAGCCTTCGGATCTTTCTTTTTAAAAAAAAGTAGCCATTATTTTTTAGAACAGTTTTAGGTTCCCAGCAAAATTGGGTAGAAAGTGCAGTTTTCCATATGTCCCCTGTGCTCAGTGCACAGCCTCCCCGCCGTCAACGTAGCACCAGAGCTGTGTGTGTGTGCCAATTGGCCTCAAGTCATCATTACCACCTCAAGTCCGTACTGGACGTTAGGGGTCACTCTGGGTGCTCCATTCAGATGGGTTTGTACAAATGTATAATGACGTATCCAGCATTACAGATCACACAGAGTAGTTTCACTGCCCTGAAAATGCTCTGTGTCCTGCCTGTTCCTCCTTCCCTCCCCTCAACCTCGGGCAGTCACTGACCCTTCTACTGTTTTGCCTTTTCAGAATATCATAGAGATGGAATCCTAGATCTTTAATTTTCAACTATAGGGGGGGAGGAAAGGAGATAACACTAAAACTAACCCAAGAAGCCTGGAGAAAGAGTTTATATACTTAAGTTGCTGCGTCTTCCTGACATTTTGATCCAATGGCTGGAAAGGCCAGGCCATTTTCCGGAATGTTCTCTTCTCTATCCATTACACACTGACTCATCTTTTAAGGCAGGGGTCAGCAAACCTTTCTGTAAAGGGCCAAAGAGCAAATATCTTAGGCTTTGCAGGCCAGACATTCTGTCAAGACTATTCAGTCCTGCCGTGGTAGCATGAAAGCCGGCACAGGTGATACAAAGACCAGTGGGCGTGGCTGTGTGCCAATAAAACTTTATTCACAAAACAAGGAGCAGCACTGGCCCTCCACAGCTGGGATTTGCAGGCCCCTGGTTATGGCCCCACTCAGTGTCACCTCCCTGGCAGTCCTGCAGTCACCTCTCCTTCCCTGCTTCCCTCTGTCCCTGGCTCCTCTCCAGGGTCCAGACTGCACCATATGGCACCTTCATAACTTGGCCTATCTGTGTGCAGCTAAGAACCCACTTTAGCGGCTCTGAGGCCATCCCAGGGACTCCAAACCACATGTCCATTCGCGGGAGTTGGAGGTCACAGAAGAGAGTCTGCAGAACGTTCTCCAGCAGCCAACAGATAAGAGTGGAACCAGCAGTCCGTCCTGAAGCTGCTTGTCCAGACGTGGACTCTGTAGCTTCTTGTTGTTGTTTGGTTTGGGGTCTGGGCCCCTACAAACACCCGTAAGTCATGACACCAGGCAGAGTGTTATCTTCGGAGCAGCTGTACGTCTCACGGTGACAGGCTCGTGCCATTTGCGCTTGGAAGCACCGCCCGAGTCAGGCAGTCCACACGTGTCTGAGAGGCTTTTCTCCATCCTCACGGGAAGCCTGGCCCCCACTTTCCACAAGGAAAGGCACTCCCCACTGGAGTTGGGTCCCCCTGCTCTTCCCACCGCACACCATCACCACCTCGCAGCCGCCCGCTGGGCACAAGGCACACCGGGCCCTGGGGAGCCCTTCTCGGGGAATGTTTCCCGTTTGCCGCCAGGACAGGCTGTCCACTGCTTTCTGACTCAAGGCAAAATGAAAGTCCCAGAATTTCCTTTGAGACCATGTAATAGTAAGATATTTGTGATTCTATATAAAGAAGTTCGCTTATCTGCTAAGGGAGAAGTATTAGGGGGAAAAAAAGATACCCACACAAGCAACCCTGAATATCCATCAGCGGATGAATGGATAAGCCAATGTGTCCATCCAGACAATGGAATGTTATTCAGTCTTTAAAAGGAAGGACACCTGACACCTGCCACAACATGGAGGGACCCTCAGGACACTGGGCTCAGTGAGAGGAGCCAGACCCAGAAGGACACATCCCGCAGGACCCTACTCCCAGGAGGTCCCCAGAGGAGTCCCGTCTACACAGAGAGGAGAGGGTGGGAGCCGGGGCTGGGGCAGGGGGTGGGGATGGTTGCAGGACGGCGTGAGTGTGCTTCATGCCACTGGGCTGTGCACTTAGACATGGTTATGATGGTGAATTTCATGTTGTGTGTATTTTACCACAAGTTTTTAAACATTATACACACACACACACACACACACACACCCAAACTGAATCCTGCTCAGTTCTCTGCTCCTTGAGCCCCCTTTGGGCCATACAGCTGGGGCCTCGTGATGGCACAGTGTCCCCTGCCCAGGTACCGGCCAGCCCAGAAGACAGACAGCCTCGGGGACAGTGGTCCGCATGGCAGCCTGCACAGCACACCGGAGCAGGCCATGGCCGCACAGAGCCAGCACCACCAGCAGTACATAGGTGAGTGCCCCCCGCCCCGCGTGCAGGGCCTCCTGGGGAAGCTCCCGTGTCCACTCAGCTCTTCCGGGGCTCACGGGTTTCAGCACCTGCGGTGTCTGCAGGGGTGATTGAAACAGTTGGCTTGTAGAATACCTCTTGACGTAGAAATGTTCTAGATCAACCTTTATGGCATCCCCAAGGCTCAGGTCATGATCCCAAGGTCCTGGGATCGAGCCCTGCATCAGGCTCCCTGCTCAGCAGGAACCCTGCTTCTCCCTCTCCCACTCCCCCTGCTTGTGTTTCCTCTCTGGCTGTTGCTCTCTGTCAAATAAATGAAATCTTTAAAAAAAAACAACAACAACACTGGCTCTCCCCTCCTGCTGGCCTGACCCACAGCTGCCTGGCCCTTCCCTGGGAGAGCCCCTTCCCTGCTGGTGCCACGGCCGCCCCAGGGAGCACCTGACTCGCAGCCTGCCTCATGGGTCGCGCCCAGGGAGGCTCGCTGTAGTCAGCGTCCGTGGGCACACACACCGAAGGCGTCAGTGGCCTTCGTCTACATTTAGTGTGTTTTTGGAGCCCAGACAGAACCCTTCAGGAAAGTAACTAGGGATGGCCACGGCCAGCGCCCTCCCCAGATTCACTACCCGGGGTGGCCCCCACACTGGGGTGATGGGAGCACCCGCTGAGTGCCGGGGCCTGGGCTCAGGGCTCGTCTGCATATTTACTGTCCCTGGGAGATGACAGTGTTGTCCCCATTCCGTCCCTGAGAAAACCAAAGCTTAAAAGTGGTGAGACCCAGGGCCGTGGAGCGGTCACTGGCAACCCTAACCCCGACCCTAATCCCCCAGCATATGGGACTCTTGCACGTGGCCCTTCTGCAACTGGGCTAACCCCCGTTTTCCTCCCAGATGTCTCTCACATCTTCCCGGACTTCCCGGCGCCCGACCTGGGCAGCGTCCTGCTGCAGGAGAGCATCACGCTGCACGACGTCAAGGCCCTGCAGCTGGTCTACCGGCGGCACTGCGAGGTGACCGCCCTCCCCCCGCCCCGCCCGGGGAGACCCTGAGCCTGCGCCTTGGGGGTGGGGAGCCGAGCGAGCCTCCCCTCCCCCCCACAACCCGGTGAGGCGGTCAGTCTCCCGCGTCTCCAGAACTGCCAAACTCTTCGACATCACCAGGTGTCCCTGGGTGACCCGGAGGAGGAGGAAGAGGCAGGAGCGGCCCCCTGCTTCCTCTCACCAAGTAGATAAAGATCTCCACTCTCTAAACCATGGCACGTCCGTCCCCTCTTGTGGTCTCTCTCTGGATTTCAGGGGACCCCATTGCAGCTCTCCACGGCTGCCCGCTTGGCATGTCCCGACAACACGTGATAGGCACGCTTTTTAACACGCACATCCGTGAGGTCGACGGCTGTGTTTATTCGCAGGCAACTTTAGACGTCGTGGTGAACCTCCAGTTTCACTACATTGAGAAGCTGTGGCTTTCCTTCTGGAACTCGAAAGCCGCCTCGGGTGATGGCCCTGCCTCTCTACCTGCCAGGTAACTGCCCTCGCCCTGCCCCCCGCGGCCACGGAGCCACCGGCTCATTTCCCAGGACCCCGGGGCTAACCTGCAGGCTGCGGACACCCACACTGTGACCCACAGACAAATGCGTCCCCTTTCCAAGAATCGGCGCTCAGAGCCCCCTTCTGTGTGTGTGTGTGTGTGTGTGTGTGTGTGTGTGTGTGGTTTCCACACTGTGTTGCCCATTCCCTTGCTTCAGCACGAGACACTGTAGAGGGGAGCCCGTGCTGGCCCAAATAGGGGACGTGTCATTCCCCAGCCACAGGCAGGGAAGGGGGCGGCGCGGGCCCACTGGGGAATGAGGTGGGGCGAGGTCTGTCCCGGGGGTCCCCTGCCACTCTGTGGGCCACAGCTCACCCCGGCTCTCCCGTCCCCCACAGCGACGGGGAACCCGAAGGTGCCGTCCTCCCGAAGGACAAGCTGGTGTCTCTGTGTAAATGCGAGCCCATTCTCAAGTGGATGAGGGACTGCGACCACATCCTGTACCAGGCCCTGGTGGAGATCCTCATCCCCGACGTGCTGCGGCCGGTGCCCAGTAAGCGGCTCTTAGGGCTGCTGCGTCCCCCTGGCAACCCCTGTTCTTTCCCTGCCCTCCCCCCCCCACCCAGAACGAGGCCGAGCGGAGGGCCAGCTCGCAGCTCTGGAGGCCCGTCACCCTTGGGTTGCCGCCTACCAGTGCTGGCCCAGGCTTCGGTGCGCTCGGTGCTACGGGGCTCCCAGTGACACTCCAGCCTCCAAGTTCCTCTGGGGCCCGGGATGCCCCCCAGGAGATCCCCAGAGTGGGGCCAAGGTCACGGGATAGCCCTACCCCTCCCTGTCTGCACGTTTGCTGAAAGCCCTCAGAGAGTCTCGACCCGCTGTGCCCCTCTGCCCCCGGGGCCGCCTGCAGTGCCCCCCCCGCCCTGGGGGTGATGACACACGCCCCCCCCCCTCCCCGCAGGGGGCACGCCCTGCCAGCCCCTTACAGGCTCTCCCTTGCGGCCCCCAGGGTCCTGAGGGTAGAAGCCCTGGAGTGAGGAAGCTGGGCCCTGAGGCCTCATGCTTAAGGAATGACTGGGGGGGGGGGGAGGGCATGGGTACACCTGGTGGTGACCCATCAATATTTGTGCCCTTTGGCACAACGGAAACTTCGGTCTTTCTTAATGAACTGGTCTGCTGTTTTTGTGCCACAAAATGGGAAACAGCCAAACTATTGCGTTTCTCCTTTGGGCTCGCCTGCCGCAGAACCACTCATTGCAATGAGCAGTTAGAGTCTCTATGTTAAGGTTTGGGTCGGGGTATATTTGCTTTTATATTTTTGAAGTTTTTTCTTTTTAAACAGTCTGATTTGTTTATTTGCAAGCCACCTCACAATAAACTTGGAAGTTGGTGGAAGATATGTACGTGCATGTGTGTGGGTCAGGGCTTCTCAGCACTGTGGACTGTTCTCTGTAATGGGGGGAGGGCCGTCCTGGGCACTACGGAGGGGGGTGAGCCCAGCCCCCACCTGCTCGATGCCAAGAGCTTCCCCCATTGGGACGACCACAGATGTCTGTACACATTCCCCCAGTATCCCCTGGGGGCAGAGTCGTGCTGGGTGAGGAGAACCACTAAGGCAGGAGGTAGAGGAACAGAGATGAAGGCACTGGGTGGCCCCAATTCTCACCCGGCGCCTCCCTCACTAAAAGCCCTAAGTTCTCCCTGGTCTCTCGTCCATGTGTGCTCAGCCGCCTCTTTCTCTTGCTCCAACAGCTTCATTGCATGTGCGCCTCTTCCATTCCTGCTGATCCTGATCGGGATCAGGACTGCCTTTCTCACTGTGTCACGGCTTGTGTCTCCCAGGTACCTTGACACAGGCCATCCGTAATTTTGCCAAGAGCTTGGAAGGCTGGTTGACGAACGCCATGAGAGACTTCCCACAGCAGGTCATCCAGACCAAGGTAACCGCTCCGCTCTGTGGGGGGCAGCTGCCCCCAGGCTCAGGGAGGGGCTCTTGGCCCTGTGCCCAGGCAAAGCAGGACGCTCCCGAGGGTCCTGAGGACCATGAGTCCCCTGACCCCCAGGAAGCCTCCAGGATGCTGGCGATGTGGAACGGACACTCACAGGGAGGGGCACGACAGAAGCTGTCATTTGCTGTGATGCATTTGGGTGCATTCAGAACAGATAGAATGTTTCTATGCACCTCACGGGCAGGAGGGTTTAATCTCCTTGCTGTCACCCTTACTGCAATAGTCTTGGCCGCAAAGCAGAATTTAAAATGTGGAGAGCGGGCCTCCGTGCGCAGAAGAGAGTGACGGCTGCTCTCTCAAGCGCCACTTAGAGACCTGCGCACAGGTGAGGCCACGCTCCAAGCATCAGGCCGCCCTGACCCGGTCTGGAACAATCTGTTAGACCAGTGACTCTCAAACCTCAGGGTGCAGGGCGCCTGGGGCTCAGTCGGCTGAGCATCTGCCTTCAGCTCAGCTCGTGATCTCAGGGTCCTGGGATAGAGCCCTGCGTCGTCGGGCTCCCTGCACAGCAGGGAGCCTGCTTCTCCCTCTGCCTGCCGCTCCCCCTGCTTGTGCACGCGCGCGCTCCCTCTCTCTCTAATAAATAAATAAAATCTTAAAAAAAAAAACATAGCCATGCTTATTAAAAAAAAAAACAAAACTCAGGGTGCATCGGAGTCCCCAAAGTAGGGTAAAATTGCAGATTCCCAGGCCCCACCCCCACGAAGCTTGATCCAGCGGCACCCAGGAGTCTGTATTCCCCCTCCCCGGCCACTCCAGAGAGCCAAAGGAGTTCTAGAAACAGCAGCGTAAGCACCCTGTCCCGAGGCCTACCTCCCCGATGCTATGGCGTCTGCTCTAGATGCCGAGATGCCTCTTGAGGTTTGTGTCCTCTATTTATTCTCACTCTTCGGGTCCTTGAAACTGTTGGAAGAGTGGGTCCCTCTCTCCCGCTCCTCCGCACTGTCCCGGAGCCCACAATCCCTCCACGGAGAGGAGAGGACGCGCTCTCCCCCCGCGCCTCACCGTCTGCACCTCCCTCGGCCACAGGTCGGCGTGGTCAGCGCCTTTGCCCAGACCCTGCGCAGATACACGTCCCTCAACCACCTCGCTCAGGCAGCCCGCGCTGTGCTGCAGAACACCTCCCAGATCAACCAGATGCTCAGTGACCTCAACCGCGTGGACTTCGCCAACGTGCAGGTGACTTTCTCCAATGCGATTCCCCGCGACCTGGGATGGGGCGTGGGGACCAGGCTGCAGATCAGCGACCCCCACCCCGCCTTCCAGCCTTGAGAAAAAGGCTCAAAACCACAAAATGCAACCAGCAGCAAAACCCAGCGTACATGAGAACAGGGTCAGGGCGGAAGCCCCCCTCCCTGCAGCCCCCCAGGGGCGCCAGGCCTCCAGGTGCTGGGACCCACACCTTGGGTCACCCTCCTTAAGAATCTACCTTCCTGCTGCCATTTTCACAGCTCTCTCCTCTGGGCTCAGAAAAGTGCAGGCTGTGTTCCTGCGTGTCCTGCCTCAGTGATACTCACGCCGAGTTCAGGCTCTGAGTTCATCCACTAAATAAACACACACACATCTTTAGAGAAATGAGCACTTAAAAGTAAAACACCACAAACATATGGTGTGTGATCGGAGCTTTGGCCCCGGGAAGCATGGGTTTCCGCGTTTGGAACCAGGGCAGGCTCCCTCTGGCTATCCGTCTGTCCAGCTCCGCCCCGGGGGCTCAAGCGGCAACCGGCAAAGGCCCGGAGCGGGTGCTGGTCCCGTGCTCCCCCCGCACCCCACAATGGCGCTGGTCCGGGGGTGGGGGTGCCACCCTGACCTGCCGCCCACGCCCCACAGGAACAGGCCTCGTGGGTGTGCCAGTGTGAGGAGAGCGTGGTGCAGCGGCTGGAGCAGGACTTCAAGCTGACCCTGCAGCAGCAGAGCTCCCTGGACCAGTGGGCCAGCTGGCTGGACAACGTGGTCACCCAGGTCCTGAAGCAGCATGCCGGCAGCCCCAGCTTCCCCAAGGCCGCCCGCCAGTTTCTTCTGAAATGGTCCTTTTACAGGTAAGTCTGGCTTGGTTTCCAAGAGAACCCAGGGAAAGCAGGCACGGTGGGCTCCGGGGGCCCAGCGGCCCGCTCGGCAGGCTCCCAGGGCAGGTACCGTGTGCTGACGGAGGCAGCCTGCGACTTTTCTTTCCAGACCTGTGCTCTCCTCTGGCTGACATGAGGCATTCGGGAGAAGGGCTGGCGCAGCATAACAGCCAAGCCACGGCTCCCCGGGTGGGGGAAGGGAGCACGGGGAGACATCCCCCTCACCCCCCTCCCCCGGGGACCCAAAATCCGAGTTCGCTTGTTTACCTTTAGGGGGCTTGGCCATACAGAGCCAAGGAGCTTCTGAGGAGAAAACAGCCCAAATCCCAAGCCGTTCCACTCTGTCCACTGACTCGGCCTTTGGGTCCGCACACGTTCAAGCGACCTTTGCTTTCCACATGCTGGTCTGGACACGGCGGTCAGCACCTGGCTTCCCTCCTTGGCTGCCTTTGCTAAGCCGTCTCAGATCCACAGCCTGCTGAAGCCACCTCTCTTTCCCCCACTGCCAAACCAAGTGCCTTAAGAGTGCATCTACACGCCGGTCCAGGAGGACGTGCAAAGCCTTAAGTATAATGTCATCAACTGCTCTTACTGACTCACCTGCACACCCCATCGTTCCCACACAAGCACAGAGTGTCAGCCCGTTAAAAAAAAAAATAACAGGGCACGCTAACATTTTCAAAAGTTGATTGGAGCAGCCCCAACCCGCAGGTGGTCAGTGAGCGAGGGGAGAGGTGTTTACAGAGAATTTGCGGGAGCAAAGCAAGGAAATGAGGTGATTGGCTTGAGCTTGAGCTTCGCCGCTGCCACCGTGGAGGGGAGAGCCTGGCCCTTCGTGGCTGGTGGTTCGAGGGTTCACTCTCAGAATCCCATATGTCACCTCCAGCTTGGTTCTGGGATGCTTGGGCCACACGGCGTCGGAGCCACTGCTGTGCAGGGCCCCCTGCTTGGTGACTCTGTCAGGGGCTACACGTCTCCTCCTGCCTTGTCCCCTCCTGGTTCTTTTGCTACCACAGGGATGAGTGGGGAAGCTCTTGAGGTGGGGCAGTCGGGTGTTTGGGGTCGGGTGCCAAGTGATCTCATCCCTTTAGATCAGGGGTCGCTTTTTCTGTGAAGAATCAGATAGTTAAGTATTTCCAAGAAATAAACTTTTATCGGCACACAACATGTAAATGAACAGGCATGACCAATGTGCCAATAAAACTTTATTTATGGACACCAAACTGTGAATTTCAGGTACTTTTCACAGGTTGTGAAACATAATTCTTCTTTTGACGGTGTTTCCAACCATTTAAACCTGTAAAACCCATTGTTAGTTCGTGGGCTGTACAGGAGTGGGCAGTGGGCTGGATCTGGTCTGGATTTGGGGCCATACCTCCCCAGCCCCTGCTGCAGATGAAAGAGGCAAAAGCTCCCTGAAGTTCTGTCTTGTTTTAGGCACCTAAACCACTGACTGAGGAGCCAAGGCTGGATGGGAGGGGGTCCCAGGAGGAGGGAAGGCCGGGAAAGGCTGCCCGCCATGGGCAAGTCGTAAGGGTACTACGACTGACCACAGGCCATTGGCTAAGGCTTGTGTCAGACAGAGACACGATGTCCCGTTTCCCCAGCCCCCTGCTTAGAGCTGACCGCCCCGCCCGCCTCCCCCCCCCACCCCCGCCTGACACAACAGACACAGGGGTGGTCTGGGTGGCTGGCAGGCCCCTCGTGGCATCTATGGGGCCTCCCCTCCGAAAAGCCTGGCCTGACTGCCTGCCTGCGAGTCCATGTTCCCCGGAAGTCCCCAGCCTCTGTCTGCCCATCCCCCCAGCTCCATGGTGATCCGCGACCTCACGCTACGCAGCGCCGCCAGCTTTGGCTCCTTCCATCTGATCCGCCTGCTCTATGACGAGTACATGTTCTACCTGGTGGAGCACCGTGTCGCCGAGGCGACCGGAGAGACGCCGATTGCTGTGATGGGAGAGGTGAGGGTCCCTCCTGCCCTGGGGACCCCGGGACGCCGTGGGCAGTGTGTGTGACACAGCGGACAGCCCAAAGAAAAAACACTCGCAGGAGGCCCGTAGGTGGGAAAGCGCTCGCAGGCTGGAGCCCACCGGCCTGGGTTCAGCCCTGGCCCCTCCGCCTCCTAGAGCGTTCCTGCCCCTGAAATGAGACCTGGAACACCCGGCCCGTGGGAGGTCTGCTGTTGGAATGGACATATAAAATGTACCATTCCGGCCATTTTAAAGTGAACGATTCAGTGCCATTTAGTACGTTAAGAGTTGTGCAACCACCACTTCTATCTAATTCCAGAACATTCCATCACCCCAGAGGCACACCCCACCCCTGTCAGCAGTCACCACCATCCCTCTCCCCAGGCGCTGGCACCCGCCACCCTGCTTTCTGCCAGGATCTGCCTGTCGTGGGCGCCACACCCGGGTGGAATCATACGTGGGCGTGGCCTTTTCTTGTCTGGCATCTGTCACTCCACATCATCTTTTCAAGGTGCAGCCGCATTGTAGCGCAGATCATTGCCTCACTGCTTCTGTGGCCAGATAATATTTCCTTGCACGGACGGTCCACATTTTGCTTTACCTGTTCATATGTTGATGAACACATGGGTTGTTTACAGCTTTGCACTGCTGTGACCATCTGGGCACACATTCTTGTTTGAATACCTGTGTTCGCTTCTTTTGGGTACATTCCTAGGAGCAGAATTGCCGGGTCACACGGGGTTGTTTTGAGGAAGAAATGAGGTGATGCCTAGAAAGCTTTTAGGACATAATAAGCCTGTCACCTTTAGAGGCCACAGTCCCTGTCCTTTTGGTGGCCTGAGCAGTCAGCACCCACTCAGCCCTCCACCAGCTCCCCGGCAAGACCCAGAAGGTGCCAGAGGGGACACACCAGCATCAGTGCCACTTCTCATGGGGGAACCGCTCTCCTTTACAAGCGAAGCCTGTGTTAACTATAGACAGAGGACAGTGCTGACATTCACCAGGACCAGGCCCCTCTGTGGAGGCCCCTGACTCTGGGCTTCTCTCTTTCAGTTCAACGATCTCGCCTCCCTATCGCTGACACTGCTCAATAAAGGTGGGTGTGTCCGTGGCTTTTCCGTGAGGCTCTCCCAGGGGCTATTCCTCCCACCCTGGGCGTAGTAGAAATCGAGGCAGCTCCCAGGGTGGGTTTGAGGGCCTTTAGGAGCTGGCATCCAGACAGGCTGGTGAGGCCTGGGCAGCAGCAGGTGTCCCAGTGATGCTTATGCGGGCCTGGCCCCTGCTGGGGCTCAGAGGAGCAGCCCTGCACCTCCTTCTTGTGTGGGTGCTTTGGGATGCCATCTAATCCTGCTCCCCAGGCACCTCCACATCAGGCCCGGGAGCAGGGCCACAGTCCTGGGCTGCCTGCATCCACTTGCCCCTACCCCAACCCATTCCCTGCCCCGTGGGGGTAGGGGGCACCAACTGCTGAGGGGGACCCTGCCAGGAATGTGACTCAGCAAATGGACACTGGTCAGGGGAGGTCTCCAGTAAGAAGGCCTCCCTGGGCACTGCGGGGCAGCGTCCACACCTGTGCACCTCTCTGAGAATGTGCTTCTCTCTCCCTCTCCTTCCTGCGCCCACACTCCTCATCCGCAACGCTAACCCTGCAGATGACCTCAGCGAGGATCGTGGCCGTGAGGCCAACTCCGACGCCCGCAGCCTGGGCGAGCCCCTGGTGAAGCGGGAGCGCAGTGACCCGAACCACTCCCTGCAGGGCATCTAGCTCTGCGGTGCCTCCCCCAGGCTCCAGACCAGGCCCCTCGAGCTCTACTATAATAGTGCCTCTTAGATGATGTGATCTTTGCTCTGACTCACGGGGGCGCCCTCCAGAAGAAAAACCCTCGTGAACCACAACAGAAGGTCACATCGGGTTCCCGAGTGCCTGAGCTGCTCACCCGGTGCCTCCTGGGTCATCTTTTCCTTCTGAGTGTTCTTCTCTCCTCTGCCGGACCATGAACTTTGGTCCAAGTCTACACATCCCGTGCCGGACAAGCAGGCACCTCCACGTTGGGCTTCTCCTCGGTTCAGCTGCTTCCAGCTTCCACCATTATTTTTTAAAACTCAGATCCCAGGAGGGAAGGGGTGTCCTGCAGCTGTTGCGCAGTCCCAAGCTGACCGGTGTCCATGGAGCCCCCAGCCCTGGTGCCCTGTGGTGGGAAGGGACCTTCTCCGTGCTGTGCCCAGGGCCTCCTGCCCTGCCGGCTGTGCTGAGGCGTGGAGGCCAGCCCACAGGCCCACGGGAGCCGCATCTGCAGACACCAAACGTCCCCAAAAGCAGCTGTCAATTGCCATGGCCCCATGTGGCCCAGAGAACAAGTCACAGAAATGGGCCGCTCATGCCAAGACATAGTGGTGTAAGAACCAAGACCAGAAGTTTTATCAGCAACTGGAAGGATTTGGGTTCTGTCCAAGGTCACAGCCAACGTCAAGCCAAACTGCTGGGTCTGGAATGAGTTTGTTCCAAGGGGGCTGGATGGTCGGTGTTTCAGTGGTGCCTTCAGAGAGCAGCCATCGGGCCAAGCCTGCCTGGCTCCCACCCCGTAGAATCTTCTGGAATGCCTGCCTTTGAATTAGCAATCCTGGAGCACTTTGACCCAGGGCAAGTCCCATCTTGAACTGCTCAAAGTCGACACTCTTCTCTGGGCTAAATGAATCCCGAGGACTTGCATTGCCCTTGAACTTTGAACACTCTGGATCTGCCGTAACACACTGCACTTGGTTAGCTCCGTACAAGAGTCCTGCCCCCAAACCAACTGCAAAGAAGAAAGACAAACCTCTGGTCTAGGAAACACCATCTTATGAAATGCAATAGTTCTCCTTTTGGAAATGTTTATACCAATAGTTTTGTGCTCTAATTGTTATTAGAACGTTTCTTATGAACATGTATATTGCAGTATATTCAGTCCCCAACATTTTTTTTCTCATTCACGCAGAAGGTACTAATGTAAACTCACGTGGCCTTTAAAAACCTTACTTCCCAACAAGCAGGAGCGCTGAGCACGCCTAGGCCCACGCCAGGTGTGCAGGGAGGCGTGGAGGGGAAAGACAGGAAAGCTGGGCGCTTATTTTAGGAACCAAAAGTCTATCACAATCACAGTGTTTGTCTGGTTTTACAGTTCAAGCCTTAGATGAAATCAGACGGAAAGAATGTCTTTAAAATATATATATCTCCTCTCCTGGGAGACACTTAAGCTCACGGTTCTTGGACTGTAATGGCCTTCCTTTCCTTCCATGGGGGGTGAGCAGTACAAACTGGGTTTCTGCCTTGCGCTCCTGCCTTTGCAGGATTCCACAAGGAACAATACAAATGACAGTAAAGACACAGGCCTTCCAAGCCCGTTCTTGTTGTTCATGGCAGTGAACACACGCGATCCACAGCTCCAGCTTCCCTCCAACACACACACACACACACACACACACACACACACACACACACACACACACAC